TAATGGAAATTCTGAATATTCTATACCCACTGATCTTTTAAAATAGATCAGACCTTTTAAAAAGATAATTTGCTTTTATTTTTGTGATATAAATATGTGCCATATCTTTAAATGATACACCTTTGAGTTTCCTTTTGAAAAAATTAATAACTATTCATGTTGGAAAATATATTGTGTTTTTGTTTTTGTTTTTGTTGTTGGTACTGGGAATTTAACTCAGGACCTTGCACTTGCCAGGCAGGCGCCTGTGCCACTGGGCTATATCCCTGACCCTCTTTATTTTTTTAAAAATTAGTTGTTTAAAAAAGTGTTGGAGCCAGGTGTAGTGGTGCATGTCTGTTATCCCAGCACTCAGGAGGTTAAAGGAAGAGGATTACTGTGAATTCCAGGCCAGCTCGGACTACATAGTGAGTTCAATGCCAGCCTGATCTATATAGTGAGACCCAATCTAAAAAAAAAATGTTGGAGTGGGGATTGAGTCTACAGCCTTGCATATGCTAAGCACATGCTCTACCACTGAGCTACCTCTAGCCCTTAAAGCTGTTTTTTTTTTCAGTATTAAAACTTTGTAATATTTGTTCACACCAAAGTATTAAAACCTTGTAATATCTGTTTGCCTCATGAGTATGTTAATTCTATAACAGTGACAAGAAAAAAATAATCTGAGAATCCCATTTGGGCTAATTTAACAAATGCTAATTTAACAAATGTTTGTTCTTAGTATAGCTGAAACTTATGCTTTTGTGAATAATTGTACATTCTTTTTACTGTAACTATACCACATTAGTACTTTACTAGAAACTCACAGTTTTAAGAAGTGATACCAGATGAGCAACTTGTATCTTAAAAAAAAAAATTAGCTGATTTCAGTAGTCTGGATAACTTATTTCTATTGAAAATCCAGTTCTGTGCTCTTTTATTCTCCAAATATGAAGCTGAGGACCTTGAGTTCTTTTATTTCAAATCTATAGATAAGCATAAGTGGTCTGTTAACAGACCTTTTTTCATTGCATTTATATCATTGACCTTTGCTTCAAAAAGCATTCAACAGTGTTTCATAGAAAGAGCCCATGAAAGGGGGTGTTGTAAAGCCTTTATTCTCTAAAAGAAGTCACACAGGCAAGCTTTATGTTTGTTGAGTGATTTAATTCTCATATATGCAGAAATTGGCCATGGGCCATGAGTAACACGAGGGAAAAGTACTTCTAGTACAGTCTCACAACCAAATTTCCCACTCTGTTCTTTATATATTTTTAAAGAGAGAAAAGCACCTCCTTCCCTGTTATTTGAAACTATCCAGAAAAGAGTAAAGTACAGTATCTAGAGTCAGTCAACAGAGTTATCAGAATTCATGAAGTTACCTTTGATTTTTGGAAGGACTTAAATTAACTTATTCCTTCTGGTTGAGTCCTGAGATGTTTTTGAACTTTTCATTTGGTGAATACAGATTTACTTTGCTAGCTCTTTTACCTCATTGTGGTTAAGGTATGCATATACATGTATGTGGTGTTTCTTTTTCTGTTTTGCAAAGTTACTCTTCAGAGATATGCATGGTAAATTTATGTTGTACTTAAAAGCAATGCTCATCTTTTATACGATCAGTGTTAAGTTTAATTAAGCTTTAATTAGCTTGAACATCAAAATATTTGGGCTTGTATCTCTTAAATACTTGGACTTTGTTAGGTGGCAGCTGCTCTTCAAGTGGTAAGATTGCTCAGCTTTTAATAGAGAAGAAAAGAGAGACCAGGATTTATTCTGGACAAGCTAGAAATAGTATCACTGAAGTCAAAACTTGCATATATGGTGAATTGTGATGCTTGGGCTGTAAAGAATAACGGGAGGAAGTTTGGCTTTGTATAAATAAACATGACTCACTAGCTGTGGTTAGTAACTTTATCCTCTCTGAGTTCTTTCAATAGTAAAATGAAGATTAGGACTTCTGCCTAGTAGAATTGCTATAAGAGTGAGAGAAAAGATGTATTTATTGACACAGGCCATCAATAAATAAGGCTTATTGTTATTATTATTATTAATCATTGTCCTGTTCATGCTTTCAGGTGCCTTAATTTTATATTTTCTTATTTATATTTTTTATTAGTATACATTTGGAGCACATAATGTAATTCCTTGCGTAGAACTGGTACATGTACATAACACATCTTACTTCCTTTTTTTATCCCTTTCTCCTCTCTCCCCCTCCCTCCAGCTCTTGATTCTCTTCCCATTTCAGAAAGATCTATTGTCCTACTTTCTATTACTTATCTTTTATTTTGCTCTTGATTTATATGTTGTGTTTTTCATATAAGAGAAAACATATGATATTTAAGTTTGTGTGTTTGATATATTTCACTTAACATTATGGTCTTGAGGTACATCTGTTTTCCTATAAATGAATCAAATTTATTTTTCTTTATGGCAGAGTAATACTTCATTGTGTATAAATACATTTTTCTTTATCCATTCATCTATTGATGTACATATAGGCTGCTTTAGATTTAACTGTAATGAACTGTGCTGCTATAAACATGGGTATGCATGTATCACTGCAATATGATGTCTTTAACTCTTGAAAACTAAGAAATTACATAACCCACACTAGGAAGATTTTAACAGAAGTGTAGTTGGATGTGTGATTTTTTTTAGGATACCAGGCTTTGAGATATGGTAAGCATGTATTAGTTACATGCGCTTGACTTTCTTTTGTAGATTGATGTTATTTAAGCCCTAAGAATTTTTCATATAGACACCTCCTGATTTTCTACTACTTTTTGCTATTTTTGAGACATTATAGAGAACTAGAGTAAGTGGAAAACAGAAGGAAAATTCAACTTTAATTACTCAAAATAGATTTTCAGAGATAAAAGGCAAAAACTCTCATTATTTAGCTTAGGGAGGAATAAACAGAGGCATATCTCAAATAGTGAAAAAGTATGTTTAGGTTTATATGCTACAAGTAGAACAGACATGGTTAAAGATTGTATCGCTCCCATCCTGCAAAATTCAACCCAGAGTTCCACTAACTCTCAAACTAAGAAATTCTATTGCAGGTATATAAGTAGATAAGGTAATAGGGAATTACTTTAATTGATGTAAGTGTTAGTTTTAGCATGACCTCCTGAACTAAAATGAATGGCTCCACAGGGGCTCATTATGAAGAAGCTGAATATCTAAGAAAACTTATGTTAAAAAGCTGTTTTACCTTAAATTGTCCCCATCTGGCATGACTAGTGCCAAAACCTATTCAGAAGTGCAAAATTTTGAGATTGAAAATGAGCATATAAAAAAGGGCCACAGGGTGAGGACTCAGTGGTAGAGCATTTGTCTTTTATGCACAAGGCCCTGGGTTCCATCTCTAGCTCTGTAAAAAATACATAAAATAAATAAGTTGAATATAATTTTAGTGTGGCTAGTGAGGCCTAACTAGCCCAGCCCTAAGTTGTGTGTGTGTTTTTCTCAAAACCCTAGGATTAGTGTTGTTTTTCATTTTTGTTTTTTCCCCAGTAAGTGCTTACTTCTCAAATTTAGCTTGTGGTCTTTCTGTGTGTTTGCTTCTTTTGTCTTTGCAGTGTTTAGGATGGAATCCAGGGTCTTTGCATTGAGCTACATCCTCAGATCTGTTGTAATTTTTTTAAGACAGGGTCTTATTATGTTTCCCAAGTGGGACTCAAACTTTCAATCCTCCTGTTTCAGCTTCACAAAGTGCTATTGACACAGACATATGCCCACCCGCAGCTTAGGTTTTGCATTTATTATTTGTCAAACTTCATTAAATACCTACAACAAACTGGGTATATACTTTATCTCCTTTCTGTGGATAGTAAGCTCTTTAAAATATAGTTCCTGGACTAAGAAAACTTATTTAGTAAGGTATATGACATGAAAAAGATTATTGTAGTATATAGTCCCTATAATTGTGATAGGTCTTAAAGATAGAGAACTCTGCAATATGGCCTTTACTTCAGAACATTTACAATCTGATTAGGAAAACAAGCCTTACATATTAAAAGAATATAGAACAACACATGTCTGACATATAGAATATGAAGTCAGGAAGCCAGAAGATTTCTGTGGACCAGATAGAGCAAAGTTTCATGGAGAAAGAGCCTTGCAAGCAGAAAAATTTTAGAAGTGAAGAGGAAGAAAGATGTTATATTAAGGATGATCATAAGAAAAATGACAATACTAAGAAATATTTGAAAGAAAAATCAATAAAAAATGGCAATTTGTTGGGTATGAATGAATGTTCATAAGAGTATAGGGAGAGGAATTGAAAGTGGCACCAAAGGTCTAATGATTGGCAAGAAATGGTATCACTGTTATAATGAGTGTCTAAGAAGAGAAAATATCTAAAGAGGAGTAGTTGGAGTACTAAATGTCATATTTTTCTTTAGAATTTTAGCGTTTTTCTTGAAGGGTTGACAATCTAGAATTTTTATATGGATTTATAGAGATCTTCATTTTCCCATATTTAGCTTAGCTACCAAAATTGATTAAAATACATCCTAGGCACAAACTAAGGAGTAGTATCCATTTCTAGCATCTAAATAGATACGAGTTAGCATATTTATTAAGATCTTGGTCTTCATATTCTTCAGCCAGAAGCTTGGGGAGGGTTAGGCAATGTTTCTTCTTTTCTCTAGATTGGAATGGATGCTGATAAAATGGTGGGATAATTCAGGAAAGAAATATGCAGTGATATGACTTCTGTGTCCCAGTGCTTAGTAAAAAAGGTTTCTAGGCATTGGGAACTTCTACTCTCCATGGATCCTTTATCATTTATTTTAAACTACCAAAGTACAGAGGATTAAATAGTTGCAAAGATTAGTATTAGTACCATGGTAGCTGAATTATATAGTCATGAAGCTTTTCAACTTCCAAGTTAAATAAAAATTGATTCATACTTCTAGTAACCAGAATTTAGTTGAAACCCTTTGCTACCTTAGGATCATCTATAATCAAACTGATTCACTTTTGTTCACTGCTTTTGCTTTTATTTGCAGTTCTGGGAATTGCCAGTGCAGAGAGGGCGTCACCGGCTCCACATGTAATCAATGCCAAGATGGATATTATGGCTTTAGTAAGGATGGTTGCTTGCCCTGCCAGTGCAATGATCGGTCAGCCAGTTGTGATGTTCTCACAGGTATGTTTTTCTTTCATTTTGTCATGTAATTATTCTGTTGCTCTTTTCATTTTAAAATCTTTCTGTATATGTTGATTCTTCTCATATAATTGTAAGGGTGTGAGTTCAAATCCCTGGTATATTGTGCTTGCTTCAGCAGCACATATACTAAAATCCCTGGCACATTAACTGAAGTATGTAACAAAAATACGGTGGCAAGAACAGAGCAAGAAAGACACATGGAACACATCCAAAAGGTCTAATAATGTAATTGAAGACCCAGAAAGGGAGGAAAGAGATGCTAGGTCAGAGCAATATATGAAAAGATATTGGCCAAGAATTTTCCATACTGATGAAAGGCATTAATCTACAGGTTCAGAAAGCCTAGCAAACCCTTATCAACTTCAAAACAAAGAAAAACACACTTAGGCAGACTTGAAAATAAATATAATGTCTGATCTTCAGTTTTCCTAAATGTAAAGATTAGAAATATTTTTTGAAGAATTTTTTCACCAACCAAAAAATCAGGATACCCTAGTTTCACAAGCACAAGTGTTTTTATGAGAGCAGAGTAGCAGCATATTTGAAACTGAAAGTATCCTGAAAAAAAATCTGTGCTTAAAGCTTACTCTCCCTGCTAATCTTCAGCTCTGCAGTGAAGCATATGTAGGGAAATTGGTTTAGAATAAATTGTGGGTTTTTTTTTTCTTTTATATGATCTAGTCCCTGCCAGCTTTCCAGTTATACCTTGTGCTATTCCTTTTTTACTGCTGATCAAGGCATTCTGTCATTTATTTCTAAAAGAAGCTGTGTTTCCTTGTCTCAGGATTCTCTTTCATGATCTTTCCTCTGCCTGGACTGGTCTTTCTAACCCATCTTTAGCCGGACCCCAGGCCCTTTGTCTTTTTAAGTCATATTCTTTCTCCAAGTCTTCAGTTAAAGATCACTTTATTAGAAATCATTTTCTGATGATTAGAAATCATTTCCATGCTAAATGAAAATTTCCATGCTCTCACATCCACTTGTATTTTTTCATGGCATCTAACACAGTTATTAATTATATTTATTTGTAGATGTGAGTCATACATGGCTGACTCACTGCATTTTAAGTTCCATAAGGGCAAGAACAATATCAGTTTTGTTTACCAATGTATATGCAATCTCTGCCATGAATTTTGACAAAACTAAGTATGCACTGAATGTTCATTGAATAAAGGAGCAAGTGAATGGTAAAACATATAGAAGAAAATAAGGTTTCATATTGGGAAATGACAGGAATGCTTCATCATACTGAATAAATTTCAGTAGCTGCCTAGATCTTTCATTGTACTAGAAAGCTGTGGACATTGCTGGTGCTTGCTTTTATTTTTCCTTGCAGCAGTAAAGCACTTCTTACTGTTAGGTAAATGCCAACCTATGCTTGCTCTGGAGATAATTTAAGGTAAAAAGAAATCCTTTTCATTGTTGTGATTTCTAAAAACAGCTAGTAATATGAAAGACAAGTGGCATCTGTGTTTATAAATATAATGAAAGTAGACCCCAACATGAAGGAGTACAAATACTTAGTTTAAAACTGAAGCCTCATGTAAAATCTGCCCTTTTTTCTCAACTGAATTTTTTTTTTCTAACAGTGCTGTGATACGGTTGCCCTCTGGTGGCCACTCATAGTCCTTATTTTCTTCCTTTGAAGCCTTACTCTATTAATAATAAACTTTATTTGAGATTGAAGTTGATTTTTAAAGTATTCTTTTTGTAGTAAAACATTTTGGGGAAACATGATGAAAAGCAATTTGATGGTAAATATCAGAAGTCCTAAAAATGCTGCTTTGATCCAGGAACTCTGTTTTCAGGAATCTGTTCTGAGAATAACCTTCCTAATAAGTTGTTATGAAGATTAAATGCAATGCATTTGTGCAGCCCTAGTAGAGTGCCTGGTTCATCATACCATCAGTAACTGGTAACTGTTAATATTATGTCATTAATTTTTATTGTTAGAACTAAATTAATGTCGGGCGTGGTGGTGCACACCTGTAATCCCAGCACTCGAGAAGCTGAGGCAGGAGGATTGTTGTGAGTTTGAAGCCAGTCTGGACTACAAAGTGAGCTCAAGGCCAGCCTGAACTGCATAGTAAGACCCTATCTCAAAAAGACAAAAAAAAAAAAAAAACCCAGCAATCTAATTAACTAATTGTTCTTGGGAATTAAATCCAGGGCCTCACACATGCTAAGTTAGCACTGTACCACTGAGCTACATACCCAGTTCCACTAAAATGTAAAATGATGTGAAACTGCATGAGAGGGTAAAAGAAACAGGGTATAAAATAACATGCACTACATAATTAGACTGTTTAAATAACAAAACCCAAACCTCTGTAAATGAGGAAAGATTTCCAGGAAACATTTTCAAAATCTTAATGAGAGATTTCTTTGGGTAATTTTCTTCCTGTTTACTTCTGTGTGTTCTTTTTATTTCTTTATTGAGTACATTTCCCTTAAAGTAGAGGTGGAAGAGGGTCTATTAACTTTTAATCTAGAACTTCATTGTTATATGGTATATTTCTTTTTAAGAATTTGAGGCACCTTCATGTATTCATAGTGTCCCACGTGAGTAGCTTGACCTTGGCAGCTTGACTGAGTTGACTGCTCCTTTGTTCCTTGACTACTTTTTTTGGCCGTGGGCTATCACACATTCCTGTATTTCTGTGTCTTTCGCTAGGTCTCCCTCATTTGTTGGTTCTCCTGGATCTTCCTCAGCTCTGCTGTTAGCACAGGCATGTGCCAGAGCTTAGAGCTTGATAAGTTTGACTTCTCCATTTATATTTCCCACCTAGGTGGTTTCATTCAGTCCCCTAGATTTAACTGAAATGCCATTAGATTTACATTTCTCCCTTAATTTCTACAAATATCCAACAGACTACTTCACCTGAATGCTGTAGTTGGCCTTACAAACCTAATATATCCAAAATAACTGTTTTGTCCTAAAAACTAAGCTTGCTCTACCTCTGGTGTCCTTCACTATGGTATCATTCACCCCACTGCCGAGTTCCAAAGCCTAAGAGTTCTATTTGATTTCTCTGTCTTACTGTAAATATCCAGTCCACTAGCAAGTTCTATAAGCTTCAACATAAATCCTGAGTCTGACTTTGTTCATGACCTTTGTTGCATTGTCCTTGTCCAAGCCACGTCATCGCCTTGAACTACTCGGCCACCCTCTCATCTGGCCTTTCTGCCTCCTGTCTGTTTCTCTGTCCCCCGACTCTTACCCCACCACAGTTCAGTTTCAACATAACTAGAATGATCTTTTAAAAATGTAAAGCCAGATTGTGACATTCTCATACTTAAACTCTCCAACGGCCTCTGATCCCACTTGGAATAAAATTCAAATTTCTTTCCATGGCCTATGTGATTTTATATCGTTGGCTCCTGCCTTTCCCCCGACATCTCCTGTTACTCTCCCTTATTCACCTACAGTCCATTCCAGCCGTCTTTCCATTTGACAGATTTAAATTTGCCTCTGTCCTGCAGAAAGGATCAGACATTTCTTCCTGCAACAAAGTACATTGCTGAGAGGATTATGTAGAACTGTGAAATGGCAAAATAAAGAATAAGGAAAAGCCTTTCACAGGTGGTGAGTTGTGCTCCCAAAGTTTTGTACTTGAATTTGGTTGGAAAGGAGCCCTACATTCCTTCTTTTGACCGCTTATTTTCTTGGTGACCCCTTACCAGGTCTGGGATGCTCAGCCAAGGAGTATGAAATCACTTTCAGGAAACACTCATCATTATTATTCCTCCTTCTTGTCCCTCCTTTTTGTTTGTGATTTTTGGTCATCTCCTCTTTAACCATTTTTCAGCAAGGACAATATGAATTTTAGACATTATTATTAAATTTCCAGGGGGTTCCACGCACAACAGAATGAGCAACATTAAACTTCTGCTAATTTTATGTGTCACTTATTTTAAAAGAAAGTTCCTCAAGATTAGATTTAAAAGAAACTTAGAGCTCATCTAGTTTAATTTTCTTAATTTATGCATGAATAAAATGAGGCATAAGGAGAAAACATTATGTTCTGTGGAATAGTCTTTTACCCTTTGAAATATTCACACTACAATAAATCCTTTCCCCAAGAATTAGTTTCCCATTTCACAGATTGGAAAAATGAAACTGGGAGAAGCTATTTTTTTTTTTTTAAAGATAAAAGGAGGAAAACATTAACAGACAGACAACCTTTTACAAAATAGCAAAAGAACAGTACAGACAATACAGAGTTACAAACAAAGTGGTAGGAAATTAACAATGCTTGTTGTATTACATATTGATATCTTCAAAGTGGTTTCTCATGAAAACAGATGAGACATGCAATACTGATCAGTCAAGGACTCATTGACAGTTTCTTTCAGCAAAGAAATAGAAGACAGTAGAACAACTATGTTAACTATCCTGTATATACATACATACATAATTTCTGGGAAAAGCTATTTGCTTAAGATCACATAACTGGTGAGAAGGTCAGCTGTGAGCAGAACTCAGATTTAATGTGCAGCCTTATACTATGTTTCTTATGCTCTATTGGCTCTTGGAGGAGTTATAAGCTATTAGAAGGGCTAAAACAGATGTGGGAGGGGTCTTTTTTTAAACTAGAACTTCAGCTAATGTTAGAAAAGTGAATTCATATTAGTTCCTACTACATGTGGATTTTAAAGGTCATGATCCTTATTTTAAGATTGCCTTTAAGCTTCTACATGAAATGTTTTTAAATTGCTTGAATTTTTGAAGCTTTCTGGTGTAACAAAATTTTTGTGCTTTCTGGTGTAACAAAATACCTGAGATAATCAACTTGTTTGGGGGAAAGTTTTTTTTTTTTCTTTTTGGAGATAGGATCTCGCTATGTAGCCCAGGCTGGCCTTGAACTTTCAAGGATCTTCCTACCTCAGCTTCCCAAGTGCTGGGATTACAGGTATACACCACCACACCCAGCTCTGAGAGCCTCATTCTGGTTTACAGTTTTAGATGCTTCAGTACATGGTCACTTGACCATGTCATTTTGACCCTCTGCTAAACCAGAACACCATGGAAGGGTATGTATGGCATTGTAAAAGCTGCTTACCTCATGTGACCAAGAAGGAGGGGGTGAGCAGAAGGAATAGAGTAGAGTCCCAATATACCCTTTAAGGCTACACCCCCAGCGATCTACTCCCTCCTCTAGCTCCCACCTACTAATGTTTCTGCCACTTCCCAACAATTTTATCACCTGGGGACCACACCTTAAATACTTGAGTTTTGGGGGGACGTTTAAGACCAAACCATAGCAACATGTGTTGTAATTTTAAAGTGTTAATTTTGTAATGAGAAAAAAAATCAAGGTAATAAAAATGAATGATGCACATATACTAGAGATAATTCGAAAATCAGAGAGGGGAAAAACACTGAAAGGACAGCCTCATTCTCTCTTACTTTTGTAATAGTATTTCTAAATATCCCTTTGAATTTTTGTAGCCCTACCCAGAGAAGGAAAATGTATCTTAGTTTCTGTTTTCAGATGTTGTGCTCCCTCAGTGCCTGTAGAACATCTTTATTAACAGTCTCAAAAGAGTTGACACTGCAAAACAAAACTTTGCTTCTTTTCTTTTCATTATTTATCAATTAGTTGCTTTATTTTGACATTTTAAATATAAAAACCTGTAGAGAATAATATAATGAATACCCATATACTCTCACTCAAAAATAATAAATATTAACATTTTGCATTTTGATTTATATTTATGCATATGTATGTATGGTTATATATTTGAAATAGAAAATTTAAAATAAAGTTGGAGTCCTCTTTTGTTCCCTCCTTAGTCTCATTTTTCTCCTTTCTTCTAGAGACAAGCTATCTTATTTACTTTCCTTGTTGCTGAGACAAAATACCCAAGTTGTCTTAGTTATTTTGCTCGTTGCTGAGACAAAATATCCAACACCCAAAGTTAAAAGTGGAGAGATTTATTTTGGCGTGCAGTTTGTAGAGGTTTTGGTACATAGTTAGCTGGCTCCAAGGCAGCACAGCATGGCACAGGGACGTGGCGGAGAAGAAACAGTCCACAGCAAGGCAACAGCAAGAAGCAGCAATCAAGCCTACCTTGCCTCTCTCCCTTTATATTCCATCCAGACTATAAGCCTGTTGATTTGTGTACCTTACACCCAGAGCGGTGCTAAACCAATCGTTAGACTAATTTAGTGGCACACACCCTTAATCCAAGTATCACACACCCTAGGTCCAGCTAGCTCTGAAAAGCCCTACCTCTGAGTGCATGAGGCTTTGGGGTGACATCTAGATACAAGCCATAACACAAGCATAGCGTGAAATTTTCCTGTAGTCCCTTAGTCCAGAAATTTTTACTTTAATTCCCTTAATTTACTTTAAGTCCCTTAGTCCTTTAAATTTTTACTATATGAAAGCATGATAAAAATACAGTGGATATTTAATTTTAAAAATGTATTACATTAAAAGACACATTGCCATTAATCTCCCATAAAATATTCCCCATTGCTTCAAACACATATATCCCATTGTTCTTACTGAAGCAGTTCTGAAAGTCCTCTTTTATGAGCATTTTTAATTGTACTCTTGTGATTGCCTTGATGCCCTAAAATCATTCAAAACTTTTACCATTAATGATCCTTTTGACTTTGGGGAAGAGACAGAAGTCACATGGTGGCAAATCTGACGAATAAGGTGGACAAAAACAGAGTGTAATGCTTTTATGAGCCTATTTTTCCCCTGGATACACTTGACAGCAACATTCACCCTATTTTTGACCACATCTTATAAAGACACTCATAAAAGAGGACTTACAGAACTGCCTCAGCAAGTGACAAGAATGATGGGATGAGTGTTCAAAGCAAGGGAGAGTATTTTGAGAAGGAAAATGGTAATGTGTCTTTTGCTGTAAATTTTTAAAAATTTAAACATTCACTGTATAGTTTGGTCACCGCTCTGTGTATATAGCAATTTGGTTTAATGTATTATGTATCCATTTGTATTGGATCCATATATATTATGTATCCATAGTATTGCTTAGTGTATTCTTAAAATTTGACAAAAAAGTATTCTCCTTCAGTATATGCCATTCTGCAATTTGCCTTTTCAGCCCATGTTGTTAAGATATACAGATTTGTGCACATACGTTTAGTTCACTTAGATTTAACAACATGAAAATGCCACAATTTATCTGTTCTTCTATTAGTAGATATTTAGACTGTTTTAATTTATTTTGCTCATATTTGGTGCTTTTAGTATGTAGTCACTTGACCAAAAGAAGCACATTGTGACTAATCATGTACCCAGCCTTCCCCTTACCATCTTGAAAGAGGACACTGAACTCATAGACACAGCTAGTGTTGAAACAAGGTGTGTAGGAACTCAATTCCACCCCATCCCTAAGATGTTTTCCTTTTCTGGTTAACTCTTATGGTCTTTTCTTGCAGGCATGATTTTTGAAAGTTAGTATACTTTGAAAGTAAACCTTAAATTTAAAAAATAATTTGCTTGTTTTATTTTTTAGGTGTTTGTTTAAACTGCCAGGAAAATAGCAAAGGGGATCACTGTGAAGAATGCAAAGAAGGATTTTATCTGAGTCCTCATGCCAGTAAAGGATGTCTTCGCTGTCCTTGTTCAGCGGTGACATCTACAGGCCATTGCATCATAGGTAAAGGCATCCTCTAAATCTTCACTTCAGAGTAAAATCAGCGAGTCCTTCATCAAAAGTTATGAATTGCATTGCTGAATCAAAATCTGAGTGCTGTAGGTGAAGGGGAGTTATAAAAACAGCAAAAGTTTCCTTTCTAGGAATTTACATGCTAATCCAAATACATATGTGAAATGAGATTTAAAATATCTCAAGACCAACGCAATGAGTCCATACAGGGACTTCAGGACTGAGCTACTTCTGCTCATCTATTTCAAGGCAACAGTCACTAATTAGTTCTTCCACAGTACTTAATAAGGCTGGACACTTGTGTCTACATAGTAATCTTACAAAGACACTTAACTGCCATTTATTCCTGGCATACCAGTTATGTATTGCTCATAGCCAGTTACTTTAATGTTTAGTGGCTTAAAACAATAAGAGTTTATAATTTCACATATTTTCTGCTAGAAATTTTGGAAAAGTTTCACTGAACAGTCCTGGTTGGATTCTTCTTTCCCTCTATTCCATTCTATTCCATTCCTTTTTTTCTTTCATGTCTTTTTGAGACAGTTTCACTATGCAGCTCAGGCTGGCCTTCAACTCACTTTGCATCCCAGGCTGGCCTCAAACTCTCAGAGATCCTCCTGCCTCAGCCTCCTGAGTGCTGGGATTACAAGCGTGCACCACCACACCTACCACCTCCATTTCATTTTAAATAGCATATTTCTTGAGTGATAATTCACATTGCATATAATTTATTTAAAATGTACAATTAGTGGTTTCATATATATTCAGTATCATACAGCCATCACTACAATCAGTTTTGGAATATTTTAATCACCTCCTTCTATCAAAAAAAATCTTCAAAGCAAATAACAAAACAAAGCCCTGTAACCATTAGCAATCATCCCTGTTTCCTCAAGTTCAAGGCCACTCTGAATTTCATAATGAGACCCTGTCTCAAAAAACAAAACAAACAAGCAAACAAGGTGAAGAAATGAAACATGAGACAAGACTTTTGAATCCCATCATGAGGTCCAGTTAGTCTGACTTGACAGACAAGAAAGGTTTTCACAAACCTTGATTTCAGTCCTTTGGTCTATTCCATCAGGGTCTTTTTTTGGTATTAGTTATTGTAACTATGTTGTTGAAATGCAAAAATGCTATAAAATATAACATCTTTGTGAGCTATGAGTTCCTTGAGAACAAGGAGTATACATGCATTTCCTTGAGTATTTTTCTACATATCATTGTCTGCATGAGTTATGAATTCATTCAACTTTTACCTTTTGTGGTTAAAAGCAACTTAAGCTCCTTATTTGAAATATGGAAAATTGTAGGGGCAGAGTTTAGTAACTTGACATCACACTACCCACTGGGATTGTAAATTGTAAATCGAAATTGTTTATGAATTGTGCAACTCTAAATATACTTTAAAAATGGAGTTCTATACTTTAAGTAGTTTAACTGTTTATAGTGTGTTATAGATCAGAACTGTTTTCAAAAACAATAGTAAAATAAACAGAAAGAATTCATCTTTCATAAAGAGCACGAGAGATGTAATGAATTGCCACCGATTTCATGATCAGTATAAAAATCCTTCTGTGATAAAATGACTCTGCGTTCAGATGTCAGCATGATTCTGTTAGTGTAATTGGTATATTCTAAGAAAGCAACACGTAAATTTAGCAGATAAACAGTTTGACTTATCGATTATTTTAAAATCATTCATCAAGTGGATTTGAGAATCTTGAATTAGAATTGCAAGATGGCTTAAAAAAAGCACATAGATATGAGTTGGTATGCTCCCTATGCCTATGGTCAAATCATAAATTAAACATGCACTGTGTCTGGCACCTTATCAAGCATTAGAGATAAAGATGGGAAATAAATAGCTCATAGTTTAATGGGAGAGACAGACAAGCAAACAGATAATTACAATTTAAATGGTGCATGCTACAGGTAAGCATAAACTAACCCTAACCAAAACTGAGGGAATTAAGCAAAGCTCTCTGTGATCCTGAGAAAAGGTGATACCTGATGAATTCCTGCAGTTTGAATTAGGAAGATAAAGTAGGAGTAGGAAGGCAACAGGATGTTCTATGTAGAGGAAGCAGTACGTGCAAAAGCTCACAGAGGAAAGAACAGACAGTATTCACAAGCCTTTTAATATGCTTTAGTCATAGTGTTGTGGAACGGGAAGTGAAGTGGGCAGAGTTGGGAGATGTAGGAAAGGGCCATGTTATCAAAGAAGTGAAAACCCTACTACGTTTTCACTTGATCCCGAAGGCATTGAAGAGCTTTCTCTAGAGAAGTAACATGCTCTGAAGATCATAGTGAGTATAGGGGTTCACTGTGACATGGACTCATTAGGAGGCACCCACAGTAACGTAGGTGAGAAAGGATGAAGGCCCAAACTAAGACTACCACAGTGGGCATGGAGAGAAGCATCAGAAAGTTGGGAAGATTTTAATAAGGTATGATTAGTATGAACACTGATATGAATTGGGAACTGTATAGAGGAGGGCAAGGAGAAGGAAGATTGAGAGATGGTTCTTAGTTGTTTGGCTTGGGCAAGTAGGCAGATGCTCAGGAGTATGGAACACTGGAGGAGGACAGGACTTAGGAAGGGAGAATGCGGAGGACGGTGTCATCCGTATTAAATTTGAGATGCTCGTGGATCCAAGTGCCCAGGCAGTTAGTGTGTAGCTTGGAGTTAAAGACAGAGAAATGGACTGGAGATACACATTTTGGAATTGTCAGCCATGCGTGGGTGAGCTCACTCACGGAGACTGAGTAGAGTGAGAAGCGAAGGAGAGCAAGGATGGAAGTCTGGGATTATCAACCTTTATGTAGGGGAGGGGTAGAGGAAGTTTTTGTTAAGACATATTTTATACAACCTGTCGTGTCCTGAAAGGAAGGAATAAAGAAACTATGCAAACATCCATCTACCACACTTGTTTGGTCACCTAACGTAAGCATGTTTTTATTTTACCTTTTACCTGAATAGGTTGTCTGAATAACTCCATCATTCCTACAGTGAGCTGGGAAATAAAGGACATCTTAGTTTGTTTCTGTATGTCTCTTCCCATTGGGGGGAGATGGTAGGGAGGGCTAACAAATCTGTTTGGGAACTAATCATTGTTTTCGTGTTTTTTATTGTAGCTTGAAAATTTATGGATTTTGATGTTCTCTCTCTTTTAGAACTGGATCAATTGGAACCTAAATGTGTCCAGTGTAAAGATGGTTATACAGGCCAGAACTGCAATAAGTGTGAGAATGGCTACTACAATTCTGACAGCATCTGTATACCATGCCAATGTCATGGCCATGTGGACCCAGTTCAAACCCCAAAGATTTGTAAGCCTGAGAGTGGTGAGTGCATCAACTGCCTCCATAACACCACTGGGTTTCGGTGTGAGAACTGCCTAGAAGGTTATGTTCAAGACCTCGAGAGAAATTGCATCAAGAAAGGTAAAACTTCACCTATGGTGGTAAATTTCATATCTAAGCCTAGCACTGAAAAATTTCAGGATGGCCGTCTTTAGCTTGGTAAAAATCTTCCAATCCCAGCAGAGGAGTTTCTGGAAAGAAATTTTGATAGATATTTGCCTAAAGAGGTTTCTTTTCCTTTCTGCTTGTCTCCTGATACTCCAAAGTCAACTCCAGAAATTTGAGGATCAAGACGCAGTCATTACAACAGTGAGACTAAGTGTTCTCAAATTTTTCCTTCATCTATTTTTATTTTTATGTTAATAACTAAAAAGTCCTGTCATTTCTTTTATCTTTTGCTTCCTTTATTCTCATCACTTCCAGTGATCATCAAAGGTCTTTTCAAGTAGGATCCTGTAGACTGGTTAGAAGTCCCAACTGAAAAAGAGGAGTTCGTTCCAGTATCCTTCTTGACTTTAGGACTAAGTTGCTCCATGTGTGATGGCAAAAATAATGTTAATATTCTTTTTGATTTTTAAAAGGAAAAATCATTCAAAGTATTTCTTATAGGGAAGTTCAGTAGGGATTTATAAGAAATTAATGATTATAAAATCAGGGTGAATTATGTACTTTATATTCAGAAATCTTTAGGTTACAGAAAGATTGGACCATGCTGTTTTGCAGACTACTTTTTGATATGTTAACAGATGCTGAATATTAGGCCTGATATTAAACTCCACTTTGTCTGTGGCAGGTGCCATCTTTCTGCCATTTTCTTGGTGTCCCTATACTGTTGTAATCAAGGCTAAAAGACTCAAATTGAACTCTATCAGTAGTACAACCCTGCCACTCAATTATTTTTCCCATTTGGGAGGCATATTTTACCCATACCAAAGCACACCTTGTCCCTTGACAAGACTGTGATGGTTTTTGTTAGTTAGTAGATAATGTAAACTTTGCCTCTCTTTAGAACAAATTGATTTGACTGGCTGTGGTGGTAAATAATAATGATAATTTCACTGAGTACCTACTACACGCCAAGCACTATAATAATGAACAGTTAGCTCATCAAATTCTTCATGAGAACTCTGCAAAGTGGATATTAATATTCTCATTTAACAGATGAAGAACCTGAGTTTGAAAAAGATTGATGTATCTATAGCAACACAGTTTTGAGTCCAAAAGCTTTGGTCATTCCACTGAGGTGTGCTGTCATTAAAAGCACACAGTATAGTGCTTTGATGATAAAATAGCTACAATCCATACAAAAGAAGAATTATGACACACATAATTAAAGGAAAGCTGTTTTTTATCTTGACTGACATCAACTTTGAGCCTTTAACTTGTATTTCTCACATGAAGCTAAAGATACAGTTTTCCCTGTATCTCCTTTGAGGAGAATTTTCCCTGTATGAAATGACATGAAATATATTGGACTTATTTTAGTTCAAATGATTGCCATCTATCCCTGTCACTTTCAAATATGTGATTAAGAACTTAATGGTGACATATTTACTGCCTTTGCAGGAATTTTTATGACTCTGTCTATGAGGGGAAGAGGATGGAAAACTTGAACAATGGAATTTTCTCAAAGATTTTAGTACAGATATTGTACATATTGGTGAACAGCCATGGATATAATAAGCTGGTTTTCCAGACCTTGATTCTTATCCCTATATATTTTTAAAATTATTTTTAACTTGCCTTACCTTAAAGCAGAGTCCCATATCAACATCCCATATCAACTTCCACTCCCATGTGTATTTCTTCGTTTCTCAAAACTAGATAATTTTGTCTTTTACATTTCATTCTCTGTTTTTATTTTCAGAAGTTATTGTTCCAACACCTGAAGGTTCTACCATTTTGGTTTCCAATGCCTCTTTGACCACATCAGTGCCCACCCCTGTTATAAATATTACATTTGCCCCTACAACCCTGCAGACTATCTTTTCAGTAAGCTCTTCTGAAAACAGCACGTCAGCTTTAGCTGATGTGTCATGGACTCAATTTAACATCATCATCTTGACAGTCATTATCATTGTGGTTGTACTGTTAATGGGATTTGTGGGAGCTGTATATATGTACCGTGAGTATCAAAACCGGAAACTCAATGCCCCTTTTTGGACCATCGAGCTAAAAGAAGACAATATCAGTTTCAGCAGCTACCATGACAGCATTCCCAATGCCGATGTGTCAGGACTGTTGGAAGATGACGGTAATGAAGTGGCTCCCAATGGGCAACTGACCCTGACGACACCCATACATAACTACAAAGCCTAAGAAGCTAGAACTGTTCTCCTGGATGTTAAACCACAGTGCTTTCTAAGACAGCTTTGGCCCCTGGGCTGTACAAAGCCTGGGTAGAGTGTGCTGAGAAAGGAAAGGCAAAAATAGTGCATCTGAAATGTTCAGGTACAAATTTGTAATGCGCTTAGCCTATCTGTCGCTCTTAGTTTCCCCATGAAGATCAGAAATACTCACTGTTGTTAAGGACTTGAAGTAAAGTATATTTTTGTACCAAACCACAAATATGGAGTATGGAAAGGCTGAACCCCACAGTGCTGCCCAAATCCACTTTGACCTCCAAACAGACTGTTGGGGAGTGTTCACCTCACCAGTGGTACCAGGATGATGGATGTGGAGGGCCAAGGACCGCTGGAAGACTTCATCTCCATTCCTGAAACATATTCCTTTTTAAAGGAGGGTCAGTGATTCTCTTCATTTTCCTGTACTAAAATGTACACATCATTAGGGCAAAGCTGATATCTAGGCTATATCATAGTAAACAATCTTGATTGTTTCTGGAATAAAGGCAGAACAGTCCCAAGAAGATCTTTAGAAGGGCTTGATCTTTCCTCCTAGAATTCTTGCTCAGTGATGGGATTAAAGCACAGGATAAACTCGCAGTAGAGAGCAGAAGGCAGCATTGGGGGTGCAGGAAGCTGAAGGTCCTCCTCAGGGGCTCAGTGTAAATGATAAATTGTCTAAAAATAAGGAGCATTCCTGCCTCTAAAGAAATAAGGTGTACATAGTTAATGTAGCATATCTGGTCAACATTGTATTTGTATCTATTTGTAAAAAAACATGTCATATTTTATCATCTAGAATTTATTTGTACAGCAGTTAATGGTGTTGTAAAAAGAAATATGGAGATTGGTTAAAATACTGTAAAACAGATGGCAATATAGCTAGAGCTGGGACTCTGGTGAGCATCCATCATTTTTAGTCCCTCTTTGGACACTGTTAAAATTTATAAGTGGTTGAATATTTCTAATTCTTTCCTTTCTCAGCGTAAAAGTAGAGTTATGTGCTCTTTGATTTACTGTAGATTCAAGCAATAGATTTTGAAGTCAGTAATTGTTAAGTGGGGACATAGGCGGCATTCTCCAAAATACTCACCTAATTAGGTACTGGCCACTCTATATATTTTACATAGATTAATACAAAACATATCCTCATTAAAATATTTTTTCTTGAATGTAAAAGATAGTCTTCCAAAGCATAGAAATCTTTGAGCTAAAAAAAAAAAAAAGAAAGAAAGAAAAAAAAAGCCATCATACCGCTTGGGATCTCTAGTTTTCATGCCTGTGAAATGTTTATATCTTTCTCATCTCCACTCCCAAATAGAAAACCTCCTACATTTGAACATAGCTTATCACTCACTTGCCAAGAGGTCCATTCCATCTCTCTGAAGTTGCTGTAGTTCTTCCATTGTCTTCTTTCTTGCTAGAGGGTAGCTCTGTAGTTGAGGATCTATAGTTAGTCCTTGGTTTTACATTCAGTTTCCCCCAAAAAAGATCAAGTATTCTTGTACTCATCTATTATATTGACAGAACTGTAGATTAAGCAAGCCAAGAAAGGTGATGAGAAGTCAAATATAGATTATTTGTTAGGAGGAATAGCAAACTGTGACATGGTTAGAAAAAAGTAAAAACTTCTTCCTGGATTAGACCTAGAAATCCAAGTTGACCCCTTGGTCTAACTCCTCAGAGAAAAACCTAAAATTTGTCATCCTCTATTGGAGACCTCTAAGTTGTGCTCAGGGTTTGATGCTGTTCTAGAGAATGTATAGAAAGATAATTTGTTTCTGGTAATCTGAGGGTCCTTGATCACTGCTTACAAGTGTAGACATTATGTTATATTAAAATTACTAGCGCTTCTACTACCTTTTGTAGTTTACAGGTCATTTTCAGTATGTCTGTTCTTTGTTCCTCATCATAGACCCCTGAGGAAGTAGTTGTTCTACCCATTTTACAGATGAGAAGACTGAGGCATGGAGGGCCAAATATATTGTTCAAGACTGCATGATGTGTGTCTTTATAGGCTCAGAATCAAGACTTAAAACTCTGCACTACATGTTCATTTAACTATACACCTAGTGCAAAGTTTGTCTAGATATGGGCACAGATAGGCAGGAGGAATAGTCTCATCTGTGGAACTTTCTAAGTTTTTGTAACTACAAGGTACAATTCAGGGCCACCCACCTATGTAGAACTTTGTGAAAAGAACACAGGAGATTTGGTATCTGAAGCCAGTATTCATGATAAGAAAACAAAGCTGCTAGTTTGTGTTTCTTTAAAGTGAACTAATTTCTTTAGGAGGGAAAACTTTCTTTCCTTAGCAATTGCTGCATAGGTATGTATAGGCTGTGCACTGCAAAATTCCAGGGCATTATGCAAAGTGGCATACCTGCCTTTCTGCCTGATACCCTACCCCTGAAAAAGTCAGGACTGAGTTGAAGCTGGTGAGGAATAAGCATTTGTTAAACAGAAGTTAACCCAATAAAAAAAACAGTGTTGGAGTCTAAGAGCCAAAGTCAAATAGCATTCTGGCTGTGTAGAGATTCCTTGAAATAGACCTTTAAAGAAATTACAAAAATTGAACCACAAAGACCATTTACCTTTACATACTGTTTAACAGCTTCTAGGTCATGGCCTTAATTTTTTACAATGGAGGAAAAATTGAAGCCTTAAACTTTGTTTTGAGTAATATTGCTTAATGACCTGGGGCTTTGTTTTTGGAAGTTATCTTGCTCTAAAATAGAAACCAATGATGAATTCCTCTACCACGGAAATCAGACGAGAAAACTGGTATGAAAGACACTGCATGGTATTCATTCTTCTAAAATCCCCATGAACTATGGTGTCCAGCAACAGGATCCTGTGAGTCACTTAGAAATCCTAGTATTAGAAGAATTTCTGTCTAAAGAGTAGAAATGTGGTATTTTTAAAAATAAGAGCAATGTGAATCTTAATGAGAAATAAAGCACAGTACTGCTGTTAAGTAATACTTTTTATCTTAATTAACTTGTTTTTGTAAGCTCGTAGGCATTTCTGACAGATGCTGTAGGAAGTGTTGGTCAGTATGTCTTTGTGCCCCTTCCCCCCTCCTTCATCTCTCCACTCTACCTCTAGGGCTTTGTTATTAATGAAATTTCTCCAACTTTAGAGAAAAAAATGATGATAAAAACTCCTACAGACCTAGTGTATAATTTTCTCCAGGAATACCTGGATATTAAGAGAGGAGAATAGCAGACATAGAATGAAAGAAAGGTGGTTTTTTTTTTTTTTTTTTTACAGCATTTGTGTAAGTCTCAGTTTTCCCAGGGTAACTGACTATTAAAACAATACTCACTGACCTACTAGCCTATTTTTGTCAGCTGAGTGGCTTTAAGACGTTAGCCTTTCTTTTGTTGTTGTGGAAGCCGAGAGCTTAAGCAATGGTACTTCCTTTGACAGATTTAATTGAAACTGGGTTATCAGATCATTTGCCATTGGTCCTATTCTTTTTGTGGGACACGTGGTGAACATAATACCACTTATACTGAATATTCTCTGGTTCTTACATTTTGAGGTATGTGAGTAGGAGTTGAATTTCTGCCTCCCAATAAAATCTCTCTGATATAATGCTGGGAGAAGAAAAAAGTAACACAGTATAATCTGTTAGAGCAAGGAAATTCTTTCTGGTCTCAGTCACAAAGAACCTTTGATCTGTTATGATCTTCTTGATAGGGAATTTGGGAGTTAAAATGGGTTTGGTGTATGTGTGTGGGGGTAATGGAAGGTTAATTCATTTTTCTCTTTATACCTGAACCAGTGACTATGATGGGGAAAGCAGGAAGAACACACTGATTCATCTGAAGAGGTCATATAATCTCAAATGGATTAAAGGTTATAAATCATTAGAACTTCAGTGGTTGAATGATGTCTTTTCCAAGGCAATTGAGAATCTTATTACTTATGCATATGCAATAACCACATCAGCAGCCGTAGAATGTGAGCCCAGGGCTTCAGATTTAAGTTAGTCTAAAGACTAACTGATTTTAAGTGAAGTGTTAATGCTAGGACAAGCACTCTGTAATAAGTTAAATTTTAGCCCAAGCAATTAGAGAATGTTTCTGAAACATTAAACCTGTATTTATGTCACTAAAATTCTAACACAAATTTTAAAAACATGTCTCATACATATGCTGTACTAGGCTTCATGATACATTTCTAAATTTGTGTATGATTTGAATATATGAAAGAATTTATACAAGAGTGTTATTTAAAATTATTAATAAATGTATATAATTTGTACCTATTGTAGATTTGTTGTTTTACTTTCTTATTTGGCTAGAATTGTTAGAAGTCTCTCTCTCTCTCTCTCTCTCTCTCTCTCTGTATATATATATACTAAAGATCATTTATTGTCAACTCATTTCATGAAAGTCTTTGAACTCTTTATGTATTAATCATGTACTTTAAGTTCATTTAAAGAATGTTTCTGGTGTGGGGGAAAATGTCACTTGAAGAGGATTCCCTCTCTTCAAACAAACAAAATTCCCAGAAGAAAACAGTAATCTATATGCATCTTGATGCTTTTCCCTGTCCCCTATGAAGTCCATTGGAATTTCCAGAAAATTTTATAGAGAAAAATTATTTCTTTTGGATTTCTTTTTCACATATGTAAATATTCCTTTCTTTAGTATAAATCTGAAAATGAATCTTGTTCTATGTGTGTATTAGGTAAACCAGAGTGAGAATACATATTTTTTTAAGGTGTGCTCAAATATCCTTGATTTTGATAAAATTATGCAGTATTTAATGGAACACCATCTACAAACTCAAAGGATTTGGAAAAGAAGAAAAAAATAAGTCAAGCATTTCTTTGTGCTGATAATTTTATAAATGAATTTATTTGTTCTATTTAAGTTGACTGGTATTTAAATCTTAAAATTTGGGTTTTTTCTTGTCACACAAGAAAATATGTTTCAGAACTTTATAATCATACCTTATGTATGTATGCATGTGGTTCTATGATGTGTATGAATTTAATATTATCCTAAAGGCACAGAATTAATTGAGATAGAAAGCTAATTAAAATTTCAAGAGAAAGTAAATGCATACATACCAAGAAGGAAATGTTGTTAGAATCATCATTAATATTGCTTCCATACTTTTGCTGTAAGTATCAAGTAAAGACATTGAGCACACTGCATTTTCAAAATTGGTTCCATTAATTTTCCAAATAAACATATGTCACATTACACATGCTCTATTATAACTAAAGCAGTGACATCAAAGTAATCATTGTGCTTAGTTATATATTTTTAAAATGAGCTAAGTTAAAAACAACAAAATATAGGGGCTGGAGATTTAGCTCAGCAACACAGCACCTGCCTGGCAAGTGCAAGGTCGTGAGTTCGATTACCAGTACCGGAAAAAAAATCAAAAAGAAAAAAAAAAACATAACAAAATGTGCATGCAAGGCAAGAACTCTACCACTGAGCCACCTCCCCAGCCCAACAAAATGTTTTTTAAGAGAGTACTTCTGCTTACAAAATGAAAACCATAGACAATGTCCAATGGAAAGTGTGTTGCTTGATTGTATAGGTTTTAAATCTTATATCCTAAATTGAACACCACATTTCAGAGAGTTTCAGGGAAAAAAAAAAACAGGGAAAATATTTCTTTGTATATATTAAGAGTAGGTTTGGATAATAAAGGAAGTGTTTGGGAGGAAATCTGTGATTTCCTTTGTGTTGTCAGACCAACTACTAAAATTATACTTGGCAATATTGTCTTTTTAATCTCTGCCCCAAATAAGAAAGAGTCTCAGCGCTTCTCCATGTCCATTATCATTCTAAGCTGATGATATTAAACTGATGTATAATTTCCTGTACATACCAGGTTATAGTAAGTCTTTTCCTCTTTGATGATAGTATTTCCTCTACCTTAACACTGTTAGTTTATTTATCCTTTATAATCTCTTGATTAAGGAGAGTTTATAAATCTTTTATTTGTACCTCCATTTCTCTTAATGAATACTACTTTTTTTGCACATAGTTTGTTGGAAATAATTTTTAATTTCTGTCTTCCCCAAGATGTTGTATTCCTGAAGTCAGGAGCATTTCTTTTTGTATCCCTGGTATCTGCCATGTTGCTGGTATGTTGTGGATGGCCACTAAATAGTGGTTTAAAAGAAAAGGCACTTGATACAAGAGTTGGTATATGAACTTGTTTGGTGAAATATTATAAGAAATGTAACATGCAGTGGGTGGGACTGCTATGGTTTGTCCCACTGAGAAGTGTGCTGGAGGCCTGTGCCCTACTGTGGCAAAGCAGAGGTGGTGGAACCTTTAAGAAATGGATTGTAGCCAGAGGTAAAAATTAGGTCTTAAGAGGACTGATGCTTTTCTCAAGGGAATGTGTTCCTACTCTCACAGGAAGTCCTAAAAAGGTACGTTGTTATAAGTGAGGCTGACCCTCCCCTGAATCCCTTTCCACCTGTGCTACTTATTATTCTCAAACACACTGCACCATTGTTATGCCATCTACCCTGAGACCTTCACCATACCCTAGTGTGTGCTCTTGAATCTCCAGAACCATGATCTAAATAAAGTACCCAGCCTCAGATATTTTGTTACAGCAATGCAAAACGGGCCAAATGAAAGTATTCGTTATTCGAGAGGGATCTACATATGGGGTTCAGAGAGTCTGAGAAAGCCTTGCAATTGTATGTTGTTTTGTTTGTGAATGTAATTGTTTTTTGTTTTGTTTTTTCTGTAAAGAAGATCTATACTTTTAATCATAGTCTCAAACAGATTTGTGATCCCAAAATGATTAACAACTTCTTGGATGGGAATTATTTCATGGTTTTCAGCAATAAAATCCCTCTCATTGAATGTGAATTGGTATAATTGGTAAACTGGTCTTTCTTCAAGAAAATTCACTTCTGGGAGTCATTCATAAGAAAATGACCTAAAAAGCAGACTTTTGCATGAAAGATATTTCATTTTCCAGAGTTGTGTAGAGAGTCCCCAAAAGAGGGCCTAAATTCTAGATGTTCAACAATCAAGAGGTAGTTTAATGAATATGCTATTTGAGATAACACAGTCATTATGAAATATTAAGAAGAATGATTAAAAACAGAAGAACGCGACGTTTGAAGATGTATATGGAATTCTATGCTTTAAGAAACTTTTATGTGTGTGCAACAGAAGCTACATTTCACATTCTTCACTGCAGCATTATTCATTACAGTACAATAATTGGAAAGAGCCCAAATGTCTTGTCAGTAGAAGGATGGATAGATTGTGGTGTGTTCATATACTTTGAACAAAATTTTATGCAGTAATGGAAAATGCATAAATCACAGCTATATTCATCAATATGGATGAATCTCAAAACAATGCTGAGCAAAAAAAGCAAGTCATGGAGAATATATACAGTATAATTTACATGAAAGCAAAAATGAGAAATAGAATATGATGTTTAGAAATACATGTGAGAGTCCTATAAATAAAAGCAAGGGAATGATTAATAGAGAAATAAATATAAAGCAGGTACAGTGGTGCACATTTGTAATCTCAGCTACTAAGCCCCAAAGCAGAGAATCACAAATTTTAGGCCAGCCTGGGCAAACTAGTAAGATCTTGCCTTCTAATAAAAATGAGCAGGGGGTGTAGCTTAGTGGTAGAGTGGTTGCTTAGCATCTGTACCAAAGGCCTGAGTTCAATTTTCAGAATGCCCCACAACTTTGTAAGGGGCAGAGGACTCACAGATGACTTCAAAAGTATTGGTAATATTCATTTCTTAAGCTGTATGTGGGCATATGGATTTTCACTATATACTCATATCTTGATATTCATTGGGGATTGATTCCAGGACTCCCTGAGGATACCAAAATCTGCAGACACCTAAGTCTCTAGTATAAACTGGTGTAGTATTTACATATAACTTCATGCATATCTTCCTGTATACTTTGAATCATCTCTAGATTATTCATAATTTCTAATATAGGAAGGTAAATAGTTGTTACTCTGTATTATTTGGAGAATGACAAAAAGTTGGTACATGTTCAATGCAGACAATATTTTAAAAATATTGTTGATCTGTGGTAGGTTGAATCTGTGGATATGAAACCTGTGGACTCAAATTTGTTGTTAAATTAAAACTTACTGTATTCTTTTTAAAACAATATGTGAACACACACATGAGTATACATGTAACATTTCATGGTGAAAATTCTTAATAGAATATGAACTGATGGATATGATATATGATTTCAACTATGGTGAAAGATACATATAAAGAAAATGTCCAGAAGGAAACATCATAGCTTGGTGATAGTTATGCTAAAGAACAAACAAACAGAACCCACTACATTTTATTTCATAATGATAAAAAATAAATTCATCAAAAGTATATACAATTTGCAATGTATATGCATCTAACAACAGAGCTTCAAAATATATGCATCAAAAACTGGTAATAGCGAAAAGAAAAAATAAGCTGAAAACATAATTATAGTTGGAAAGTACAACACCTCTCAGTGTATAGAATAAGTAAACCAAAAACCAGTAAGGATATAGAAAATTTGAACACTATCACCAACTTGACCTAATTGACCTAGAATACCCCACTCAACCATAGCAGGCTATATATAAGATATGATCACAAAATACAGTGAATGCTTAGATTTTAAAATATTTATTACAGTGAAAGAAATATTGCCATTAATGCCATCAGCCTTGCTCCTTTCTGAAGTACTTATGGAAGTCCATTTTCATGAGTGCCTTTAGTTGCACCGTGCTGGCTTCCTTGATGTCCTTTTTTTTTTTGTTTTTTTTCCAGTACTGGGAATTGAACTCGCGACCTTGCGCTTGGCAGGCAGGCGCTGTGCTGCTGAGCTAAACCCCCAGCCGCTTCCCTTGCTGTCCTGAATCCATGTGAAGTGTTTATCTTTCATGGTCATTTTTAGTTTTAAGGAAGAGCCAGAAGTTCCAAGGTGCCAGATCTGGTGGATAAGGTGATGAAGACACACAGTACTGTACAAGCCTGCCTTTCTGTTGGGTGGCAGTGACCAGCGGCAGCATTTGCTTATTTTTGATCATGTTTAGTAAAAATCATATTTTTGATCAGCCCTCCTGGTACATTCCTTTTAATACACATAGGACATTTATCAAGATAGACCATCTACTGGGCCACGAAACAAGATAAACTTAAAAATAAATGACACATTTGACTACAGCGGAATTAAGTTAGAAATTATGTATCAGGGAAATTCCAAAGTATTTGAAAACTAACACATATCTAAGTA